AGCTTTGGATATGTTAGAAGGCCAACTTAACAACAGCCAAACCAGACACATTCTTCATCGAGCTGGATGTCTGAAAGCCGAAGGAATTCCTCCACGTCAAGCATTAGCAGAGTCTTTGAGACTGAAAATTTCGTGGACGGAAACATTCCGAAGATCTGTGGCTTGTCAGAACAACAAGATATCTGGCGATATGCGGAATGCTATGCTAGTAGTAGCTGTTTTAATCCTAACAAGTACCTACCAAGCATGCCTCAATCCACCTGGAGGTGTGTCGCAGGGTAACAAGGATTGCATTATATATTGGATGTCGCAGGGTAACAATGATTCCATTATACATCTGATGTCGCAGGGTAACAATGATTCCATTATACATAGGAAAAGAATCATAAGAGGAAAATCTAATTCTAATTCCTCTAGCAGTAGTGATGAGGTGGGGGTCTCAGTCATGCCATACGGTGACTTTGCTTACTTCTATTTTATAAATACTGCAACGTTCTTGGCAACAACCCTTGTAGTGTTCTTCCTGCTTCCTGATGAAACCATAAATCTGCTTACATTACCAGTCCTATTATTCATTCTCTGCTACTTGCTGTCAATGATATACCTAGCTCCGCCATTCCCAATTAAAATTCCATTTTCACCTCTGCTTCAACCATTTTCACCTATTATTGTTGCCGCCATCATCTTCATTCTCGTGTGTTCGCCTAAGTTTTTGGACCTTTATCTCCAATCCAGAAGGAGATAGTGTTTTTATTTATCTTTGTTTGTTTCGCCTAAGCTTTTGTATCGTCAAATTAATTATTGAATATTTTCTCCATCTAGCTACATTTTCTATCATTTGATTTTGAAGTTTTATGATTTAATTAAAGATAGTTAATGAAAAAAATGCCAATATCTTAAATTTTGTATATTCATTACTCTTGCATATTCACCCATAGACTGTATGATACTTTTTTTAGTTTTCTCATAACATTTGTTGCTTGCATTTGATTAAGTTATATGTTCATTCTCATCTCATGTTTAACGCATCATGAATTACCATAACTTCTATCTTTTAGCTTCATAAAAGAGATGCCAACGAAGTCTTGACATGTGATAAGACAATGAAAACAACTAGTGTGTTAAATGCTTTCAACCTTAGAAACCAAAAACAGTTTTATTAATATTGAAAATCCACGATTAAGGATAAAAAAAGTATGGATCCTTAATTAATAAAATTTTAAAAGTTACTACATTCCATATGGCTATAATATTTCATTTGCTCTTACCAAAACAGATGAAAAGCCTTTGTATCCTTGATTTCAACATGCAATACAGGGGGAAAAGAAAAGAAATGAAAAGAAAACTGGAGTAACAGAGTAGAGATAGTGTGCCACTTCATTATTATGACAGGCACTACATCTCGTTACAAGCTAAACTACTAATCTCATCATTAACAGTCAGTACATTGACATTCTTTCTAACTATGCATTTTGCAATCTCGATCATTTCACATTCAACGGCATCAAAAAGAGCTGTTTACCAGCAGAATTTGTTATGCATGCTTTGTCTCTTCTTTTGACATTTTCTCCACCACATCCTTAGCAATTTTTAAATGACCAACAACAAGTAGTCAACGTAACATGTTACCAAGTTTTTACTAGAGAACAAAAAAATTTGTTAAAAAAAAATTTCTTATACAATTGTAGGCACTCTCATCATCATTGCAATAGCGTTTACAATTTTTTAAAAATATTAAATTCTAAATTATGCTTTTTTTTGGTATACAAATTGTTATCTACAAGAATGGTAAAAGTTGCTGCAAACATAATGGTAATGATAAGAGCACCTACAACTATATAAGAACTCAATTCTTCTTTCATTCTTCTGCTTTATTTAGCAAATTCTTGTGTTCCTTAATAAAAATTTGCTAAGGTCTTTGGGAGTACTATTTTTTATTTCCCCATACCTAGGAGAAGTAATACTCTCAACCTCCTTCATTTTTTAATTAAAAATTATAATATTAAAAGAGAAATTAATAAATGAAACAATCTTATACTTTTAAGAGTTGTTAACAACAACTAATATTTTAGATCAAGTACACAGATCTAAGAAAACATTACCTTGTACCATTGCACCTCTCTTTTCATTTGCAAAGCAATATCAAAGATGCGAGCAAGTTTGAAAATCAAGAGCTAGCTGCCCACAACATTTACAATATTGTTGCAATCTCTAAGTCAGAGAGATGCTTCAACTTTAGATCATATATTTGCTTTATACCTATTATGATAAACCATGAGAAACTTAAAAAACACATAAATAAAAATAATATATAAACAAGACTTAAATTTAATAATTTAAAGGAGAAATGATACAGACAATTATATATCCATCGTTGCCAAAACGCAAGTACTTCAAGGGGATAATGTACACAGTGGTCAAGCAAGCACCATAAAGCTGCCAAAAAATCCAATGCAATATCTAATATCAAATACTGTAGCAAAAAACCCTAATAATCATATTCTGTTTTGCTAAACAAAATGGGCATACGGTCATTCTAAATGTTCATGAAATTTCATTTTGTTAATATGCTCTTACCAAATATTTTGTATATTGACACAGGTGAAGGAAGTTGAATTCTTGATGTCCACTCCTGAGGTGTGGGAGATTAAATGGAGTCACAGAGTAAAGATAATGTGCCACTTCCTTGTGGCCTAGAGGACAAGCCATTACAAGCCAACCATTACTACTGATTTCATCATCATCAGTAACAGTTAGCAAATTTCCTGTCCTTCTAACTAAGAATTGTGCAGTCTTAATCATTCCGAATTTAGTGGCACAGAAAAGAGCTCTTTTACCAACAGAATATTTTATTTTTGTATCTGCTATTGATATTTTCTTCACCACGGCCACAACAATCACTAACCGATCAGTGGCATGGAGACTTGGAATTCTTGAGAAACCTTTTTCTGTAGAATCTTCTTCTTCTTCCCCAGCATCTTTGGCTGAACTGAACTCCATCTAACACTCCTTTTTCATTAGATCCATCCAACTGTCATTATTTTCTTCCAGACCTTTGCTAGCAGTTATACTTCAAGCCATGTTGATCTATCAAACCACATGAACAAATTACTGTCAGAATATTGACACAAACATTGTAATAATATTTCTGTCAAGAGAGAGATGAGAGGTAGAGAGAGAGAGAGCTCAGGGATGGAGATCACAAGGTAAACGGACAGCACAGCCATATGAGAGGTTCAGATTCCAGAATAGGGGACGAATCCAACAGGAGGTGGGAGGTTATGGCAAGAGAATTTACAATCAGGCAATTCCCTTCTTCTTCACAAACTTTCCAGAGGAATGGTCGTTTGAGCAGATGTGGCTCACTTTCAATAGAATAGGCCATGGAAGGGTGCTGGAGATCGATTGTCCGGCAAAGAGGGGCAAGATGGGTAGACGTTTTAGTTTTGTTCGATTCCTAGATGTGAGGAATGAAGGTGAACTAGAAAGAAGATTAAATGAAGTAAGGGTAGGGAACCAGGTTCTACAAGCAAACAAACCAAGATACACGAAGTGAGATTGTAAAAAAAAACTGATTCCTAGAACCCAGTTCGAGGCTGGTAACTGGAGACAACAAAGCATTAATGGTAATGATAGAAGACCATCATATGCTCAGGTAGTAAAAACAGACAACAGTAGGATGGACGAAAGACCCAATAATGAAAGAAGGAAAGAAGGAAGAGTACAGAGGTTTGGAAGCAACAATGCCAGTATCTACGGAAACCAGCAAAGGGAATGGAAGCCAAAACACCAGCAGCATCAATGGTCAGGCATGGAGTTGAACTTCGATCTAGAAGAATATGCTTGGCTGGAAAAATGTTTTGTAGGCACAGTGCATTTAGTGAACCTGATACCCAATTTGCAAGAGAAATTCTTCATGGAAGGAGTATTCTTCTGCAACATTAGATCAATGGGAGGTAGATTAGTGTTATTAGAAGGCAAGGATCATGAAGATTTGAAGGAGTTGGTTGATAGTGGAAAAGACTGGTTGGGGAACTGGTTTGAAGACGTGAAGCCGTGGACTCCTACTCTGGTAGCAATGGAGAGGTTCACTTGGATCCAGTGCCAAGGACTCCCAGTGCACGCTTGGAAATCGAAGACCTTCCAATCATTTGGAAGATTATGGGGAACCTTTATAACTCTAGATGATAGCACCATCAACAAGAAAAGATTTGATGTAGCAAGATTCTTAATCACCACACCATCCACAGCATCTATATCCAAGTCTATCACAGTGAAGATCAATGGCGAATTCTTCACACTCAAGTTCACAGAAGAGGAATCAACAAATAATCTCTTCACCATGAGATCT